AGGGGAATGTTGTTGAATGATGACCTAGGAGCCACTGAAAGTATTGTTGTGAAGTCCTTTGGTGGCTGTGGAAACTTAAATTTTCTTTGGACCATTGTTATGTATCATAGTAATTGAAGTACAACATTAATGTGAATTTTGCCATTTTATTAAACACGAGTATGCTTACTGCCCCCGTTTCACTGAAATTATTTATTTCATTCGTGTTAATTTTTTGTTTCACTGATAGAGGAACTTCTGGTTACTTAGCTCCACATTTTACTTCCAGTCTCTATATTCTGCTTTTATAATTTACGTTTGGCTTAATATCCATGCTTCTTGTCTATCTTGTGTTATATTTTCATCACCTTCAAGGTCTTAGCTCTCCAAACCATCACTGACTTCCTTTTGGTGGTCTTGAAGTTCTTCCAGCAAGTGAACATTACAGGGAACTTTTAATTCCTTTACTGCCATCTTCTACATCCCTGGACATCATGCTGCATATGCCCTTTCTCTTATATTGTAACCCAAATAAGATCATTCACTGCTCCCCAAATAAGTCTTGTACTTTTCTTATGTTTATACCATTATTTATGGTTTTGCATGTTTAGCTAAGAATGCCCTATCTTCACCCCTCAGAACTATACCCTTTTCAAGACTTATATCAGGTGTCATCTTCCTTCATGAATTCCTCAGTGATGCCCAGCAGTTTAGATTTGATGTCGTATTTAAAAGCTGTTGACACTTTATACCTCTCAAGGCATTTAAGGTATTATGTCTTGAATTATAGCCGTCTCCTTTCTTCTCCTTGTGGTCACATAGAAGGTTCCTTGAAAACAGAGTTGGTGTTCCAGTCGTCTTTATACCCTCTCTAGTGCCAGACACTAAAGGAGAGTGCAGTTGTCGAATCGATAAACTTTGCAAGAACTTTTAATATGTCACGTTTAGTGGCTAGTGTTAGAATCAAGAAATTCCCTCAGACTTTTGAGAATTAAATAAACAACACATGTAAGTTATAGATTATCTTATAAGATTCTATGGTTTGGATACAACTTGGATTTTGTCCTGACTGAAGCATAGCTGCCCCTGAAGCAAACAGTAGAGATATGTATGTATTGCCAGTAATAGGAATAAAAAGTGTAACAAAGCATAGACTAATCAAATCTCTCTTTCTTTTTAGAGCCTGTTTAATAAGTTAGTAGAACTCACGGAGGAAGCCAGAAAGGCGTATAAAGACATGGTTGCAGCAATGGAACAAGAGCAGGCCGAGGAGGCTTTAAAGAATGTGAAAAAGGTGCCGCACCACATGGGCCATTCTCGGAATCCCTCTGCGGCAAGTGCCATTTCCTTCTGCAGTGTTATTTCCGAACCCATCTCCGAAGTGAATGAGAAGGAATATGGTAAGTTACTAAAT